TCTTTAATCTTTCAAGAGATTGCATCTTCCCGGACCATGGAACAGGGCGACAGGTAGCACTGTGTTAATTAAAATCTTTTATTGGTCTCTGTCATAAAGGCGCGCATATGGTGAGATAAGTAACTTCCGTATGCGAGTTGTTTGTGAAGGGGGTAAGGGTGATGTAGGGACAAGAGTAGCTCGTGTGATTCATCGAGCAGATGTATTCGGAGTAGCGCCACATTAACATTTTTTTTCAATTCCACTAACTAAAATTGAGGACTATAAAAAAAAACAATGAGTTATCGCTAGCTGGTGCGTGGATAGTAATAAATGTGAGCAGGGCGTTAAGGAGAGAAAGTGAGCAAGTGTATGGGGCAAACGCTTGAGCACAGTAGCGTTTAAAAGTCACCTGATCCGAACCTCTTAACAGGCTCCTGTTTTTTTAATAGGGAGAGGGGAAAAAATTGCCAGCATTAACTGCAAAATAACGCAGCTTAAATAAATCAATAAAAAGTCAAAGAAACGACAATTGGGAAAGCACTTATGTTCCGAAGTACATTATTTCGTTTAGCTTATGAGATCGGATTGAGCAATATTTTCCGATCTAGTATACAAACTTCAAACCCTCAGGTATATTTATCTTTCCCCCGGGATTGCAACATGGAATAGAAAAATCAATTAAAGTTAGCACTACTTAATTGCTTAAATAAATAATCGAACCAATCGGCTTCGAAGCACTAATCATTTTTGTGCGCTAATATATTTCCCGATTGTACTCTACCCATCATAAGTGGAATATTATCTCTACAGTTACGCAGTTAGCATTATTTGAATCTCGTAAAAAAACAACAATTACCAGAAGAGGAAAAAAATAACCCCTCCAACAAAAGTGTTGATATTTATAATACCAGATTAAAATGCAAAAGCACTACACAAAATAAATACACTACTGTTTACAGGGTACCATAAATGCAAGGTGGGGGGGGGGAGAGGAGGAGAGGATTCTTTCTATCACAGATTCGAGGATTATCACGTAGTAGTAGTAGTAGGAGTAGTAGGAGTAAAAAGGGAGGAGCGTGGCTCGGGGTGCTACAGACCAGCAAGTTTTGATCCTACAGTCTTGACATTGTCCATAAAGAGTCTGGAGACCGACTTGGATTTGACGAAATTCCCTTTGGGAGAAGATGGTGATGACTGTCGTTTCTTCTTTGGCCAACGCCTGAAGGGACTTCGGGCACGGGTTTTGTGGCATGGCAATGTCAAATTGGCATCAGCTCGCAGAAATGACCCCGAAGTAGGAATTGAGATCAGCGTATTTGCCACCAGCGGCGTTTGAACCCTTCTTACCGGAGTAGACAAGGGGGTATTTGTTTCCGGAAATACGGGCGGTGGTATCTACAAGATGGGCAACTTCATTAAGGCTCACACATTCCTGAATATTCTATACGGCCTGCGTGAGTACAATGGAAACGCAGTCCGCAATTTACTACTTCGCTAGTTCAGTGAACATGAAATCGAAGGTATATTACATGGCTTGTTTTACAAAAAATGCCTTCACTCTCTTCATCAAAATGTTCAGCTTACCGCAAATTTGGGAGCCGCAGACTGCAAAGAGACATGTGCAGTAGTAATCCAGCTTCGTTTCTTCATCACGGTCTCGAGGTCAGTAGTAATTTTGCGTTTCATGAGTTTCATATTTCCAGAAATATCAGTGTCTGCATTAAGTACTTCCTTAATCCTCAGGTAAAGACATTGCGGCAGACTATCCAAGTCCTCAGATAGTTCAATGAGATTGATGAGGGTGTCAATGTACTGGTTCATTTGTTCAGGCTCTTCTGGCGATCCAAGAAGAGTGTTAGAAAGACAGCGAGCAAGAGCTGTGGAGGTCATTAAATTTTCCTTAGACTTGAGACTAATTTCGTGGAGAGCAGAAAGAATTCCAAGAAGGACCGTACGTTCAGGTTTAGGAAGAAGGAACTGGATAATTATTCTATAGGCAAGAAGTTGTCGACCGTGACAAAGGCGATGTAACCAATCAGAGTCTACGTCTCTCGTATTAAGCAATTGGTCTTTGAGGGTGTATTGAAGGTGCGTGGATTTCAAAAGCAAATCAGTAACCTCAGGATGTAGAAGACCTTCATTAAAATGAAGAGCAGCGAGAGAACGTATAAGGACCCCGGTAACATCATGAGGAGGAGCTTCTTCAAGCATTTCGGCGACGGAAACCCTAGCTTCTTCCACCGAATACTCACGAGGGCCTTGAGGATTTTCAAGAGTACGCGGCATAGTTGCCTCAGCTTCGAAGTGATCATATAGTCGAAGATAGAGAGCTGAAATACGTGTTGTACTACCGGGTTTACGAAATATGCCCTCGACTTCCTGAAGTCCTACGCCAGCAAAAGAGAACAATTATTATCGGGAGAATCTTTTAATTATGAAACAGGGTAATAAAACTTACTCTCTGAGCGAGAAATGAAGTCGGCAACAGAACAGCAGATGTTGAAATCAAAATTTTTGAGTGGAAGATCATCCTCTTTTGGGGCTTGTAGGGTTTTAGTCGAAATGAATAACGTAGACACATGCTTTAAACTAGCTTTCAGTGGGGCAGTTTCTGAAAAAAGACATGTTACCATCATTATTATTTTCGAGGGCGAAAGTAAAAGAAACCTATTTGAGTCTTCTGATCGCATACTTTATCAAAATATCAAAGGTAATTCGTGAACTGTTAAATATCGATTTCAAAAATTAAATTTATAGTGAGGGGTGGGGGAGGGAGAGAAACAGTTTGTGTCTGTCTTCAGTGAAACCGAACTAACCATGGTTTCTTGATATAATGAACAGTTCAGGTTGGTGTGGCCGAACTTGATCCAAGAAATTAAGTAATTGCAACAGAATCAGGTGAATGGGAATTTTTTTAAAAGCCATCATGAAAAATTAATTGCTAAGAATTAAAAGGGCCGCTTACTGCAAGGGGAACGATCAGGTCTTTTGGAAGGTGAACGAGCAGGCGACTTGAAGAAGGACCTGTTTAGAAGTTGGGATCTGGACGAGGGCCTTTTCTGGGGAGTCTGGAGAGGAGAAACATTCTCTTTTCCAGGTGAAGTCGGTGACCCTCTTTCTATCGACCTTCCACGAAGTGGAACTTGCGATTCCGATTTCAATGGGCTTTGGGCAGGACGCATAGATTTTAGACCTATCCCAGTACGCAGAGGCCAAGTGCGTTCAGGAAAGCCAATATCCAGTTCAACTAATTCCGAAAGTACCGAGCTAACGATTTGCATAAAAACATCGTAGTTGGCTTTTGGAAACAGTGAAAGTAGATAAACACCTTCTTGCCTATCTACTGTAGCAACATACTCCTCAGCCGTGAGGAGAATTTTTTCCTGAATGTCGGGAAAAACAATATTGATAGAATCGTAGTTTTTGCCATGTAATAATAATAGAAAAGCATAGCAATTACACTCACTTCATTTTTGTAACTCGTCATTTTTCTAATCTCACCCATCCAGAGCAAACAACACTGCTCAAATATCAGGCACACAAGCGCAGCCGAACGTCAGACGCAAATTATGAACAATACCCTTATAGGTATTTTATAAGCCTTCTGTGCACCAATCAGAATCGAGCTTGTATCTTATTGGTTGATCTAAAAGAGTACGTATTATTCCTATTGGTCAAATACATATGTTGTTGGTAGACACGCGCACACTTATTGGTTGACACGTAAAGTGGTAATTTTGGGCGTAAGAAATCTTACTGCGACAGTTTCCACAATTGGGAGAATTCCAGAATTCTCCCTTGATCATTTTCTTAAAAAAATTGATCTAAATTACAGTTGCAGTTACACGAAGCTGTGTAATAACGCAACCACTAGCCTAAGGTTTTGTTAATCATTTTCACAAAACTTCTCTTGGGACGTATTTCATTGCAACACGTGAAATTTCCCCTTTTGTAGAGTAGGCTTGTCCACAATGATTCCATCGCTTTTGATTGTTTTTTTAATCATTCCACATAAAATTACGAAATAAGATGATCTGGTGTTTACCCGTTTGTTTGTTATGAAGCATATTTTGTTTTCGTAACCAAACGAATTAATAAAGTGCTTTATTCACCCGTAAAATACACTTCCTATAGGCCATAATTAATTTAATTGTGGGGCTAAATACTGGGAGACAACGCTACTTTTATAGTTGTAATAGTCTGATGAAGTCATCGTTTTGGATCAAAGGAATTTCTTTAACCAATCGAAATCGTCAAACTCGTTAATCCCGTTTCGCCAACAATGGCCATAACACTATAAAGTTATTGAGTCAAGGCATTTCTAAAATCTAAACCTGCGAGTGAAGTAGAGTGCTCCCCACGAGTAGATTGGAAATACCTGAAGTGTTCAAAACAGCCACCCCGAAGCCAAAGCTAAGCCGATCTCACGATTTAGTTTTTTAAAAAATTAAAGTGGTCTCCATGTTGACCTACTTTTTTTATCAAATTTAGAATGACCTCGAGAAGTGGAGCTTTGTTCTAGCCCTAACGCACTAGAGAGATTAAAGTGCAGCGTGTTGTAAACGCGTCAAAACAAGTGAATGAAAATTCACCTTTGCAGCAACAAAACGCACACCTTCCTCTTCGCTTCCCCTTTTCTATAATCAGTGAATGTCATGAAGGAAATTGTTTCACTTGAAAATTGAATTGGCCGATCGGCAATTTTGAGGAAATTTCCACTTTATCTCGTCAATGCTTAAGCAAACCTCAGTTGTTATATTTATTTTTATAAAAAAGGTATTCAGCTTTTTTCTTGCAAAATAGATTACTCAGGAATTAGGTTGAAGCTCAATTAGGATATTTCCAAACCTTGAACTAAGGAATGCTATAAAATAGTGGGCTGTATCTAGAAGTGTGTATGTGTGTGCGTGCGTGTTACTGAAATACACTGACCATATCGTGAACAAACGAAATACCCATTTTCACAATGATACCTTACATATGGTAGTATTCCAAGTTGGAAAAATGTGGCTAAATCAGTGATCAGCCTTCGAGTCCCATATCAGGTTGGCCTATATTTGGGGTTCAGAATTGTCTTTACGTTAGTGCAATTCACAAAATTTGTGGAAACAATATCCAACATAAAAATGCAGTTTCATGCAGGTATGGGGCACATTCCATTAAAAATGTACTTGGGGAGACGCTTTCATTCATTTTTCAGATCCGAGAAACTCATTTGTTTCGAGTGGGTTTAGCTGAGGAAAGATCCTTTTTCCATTTATCTATTTTCCGCTTCTTGTTGGAATATCCACAAATTGATACTGGACAAGTCGGGAAAAGTGCTTTAACCGGCTAATGAAACAAACCAATTGTGATATGACAACTTTCTTTTTTTCAGCCATACTCAAACCACAAAATTGTACCAGTGGCACGCGTACACATTTGTCCGAAACTAGGTCACCTAACAAAGAAGAACGAGAGAAATGGAAGAACTCCAAATTGACCACCTGTCCCAGTTCCACACATCCTGATGATAAACACAGTGAAATGAAAGTTTTCAAGAAAAAAAATGAAACCTAATAGTCAAGTAGAACACTCCACATGCTCACACTTTGTTCAGTATAAACATACATTCCGAAGTAAAGTAAATTGGCGAATTTACTTCCATAGACCTTTACCCCTTCAGGTTAGGGTAATCAAAAAGGTACTCTAGGCCAAAGGCTCGAAGGTTAGCTGCTTCGACAAAAGTATATAATTTTTGATGCAGGTACAAGGTGTATATTGATTTCCAATACTGGATAAATCTTATATCTTACTATGATGAAAAAAATGGAGGCGCATTTTATAAACAATCCTAAAATTTAAATTTTTCTACACATTTGCTTGCTCGAATGATGTGAGTACAGAAATATTATTGATTGGTTTATCACTAACGTCAGGTCAAGTAAAATTTGAACAAATTCTTAGAACTAAAATGAGTATCATTAAGCAAGTTGCTATGGCCAAGAGACCACATCTTTTGATTATCTGACCTTTCGAATAATAAATGAAGAGAAAAAGCTGTAAGGTCAAATTAGAAATACTTCGCAGTTCACACATGGGAAGAAGAATATCATCCATAGTTCTGAAATATCAAGGGGATTGAAGATCCACTTTCAAACAAATTTGAGGGAAAGTTAATTCACAATTCAATGAGAAAAATTCATTCTAAACATAGTAAAGAGCAGAAAACACCCTCACAAGCTATTTTAAGTTAGTTCCCTGATATTACTATGAATTAATGCGTTAATGAATGAAATATATGAGTTAGAAACCATTATTCTTCTGTCAAGAAAATTCATACCTGAAGAAAAAATCACTGTTACCAGTCTAATTATAAACGCACCAACTATTGACTAATGCACTTTATCGATCGATGAGGTTATAGGAAAAGTGCATTTGCCAGTTACAGAGACGGTGTTGTCATGCCCGGGAATGATATCGATTATATTTCGTGAACTCTTGATTTCGGGCCAAAATATTAAATCCATGCGTGCAAATTAGACGCAGAAATGGATGCAAAATGTGATCTCAAGGGATGGAGTTATACCTCCTCTAAGGCTAGAATACCAGTTTCTGGGCGCATTTAAAAGATAAAAGTTGACTTCCTTAAGATTGCTCTATTGACCACTAGATATATTAGTAAAATTATTTCAAGGCAGCTATATGAAGAAGTATTTACCACCTCTATTTACCAAGGGGTTAAATAGACGGATTAAAGGAGGAAAGCATAAATATAGCTCACACCGACTTACCACACTCCACCCGTGAAGTCGGGAAACGTTCCGTCACCTTTATTTCAAAAAACCCTGTTAAAAGTGAATATTACTCACAGTGAACTCTATTAAAATTTCGATTATTTCAGCTCAACATTTTTGATTAGATCGTTGCTTAAGATCAGCGCCTGAAAGTAACTAAACAAAATTTAAACGTAAAAAAAGCAATTAGCATAATTGAACAAATGGTCAATAAGCATTTAAAATTCTATTGTATATTTCATATTTTGTTTAAGCTAGTCAATTTTAATGAGGGAATTAATTCCTTCATATTCATCCAGATGACTCTATCTCCTGGTGTTGTTCAAATCATGGGATTAGTCTAAGTAGCACCGTTGAATGCATACTCTTTGAAGGTGACTTCCTAACCACCTGCTGCAGTCGAACAACTGGCACCCGGCAACTTTAACTAACTAACTAATTCAGTCAAATATCAAATTTTTCAGGGGTCAATCCAGTTCCAAAACAGTTTGCGTTATAAGTGATTGAACTGATACAGCAAAATGTAAAATGGTAGCACTGTTGTGATTTTTAAGCATATAATTAACTTGCCAATTACCCCACCTTCACTATAAAATGCGATTAAAAACAGGAAGGCATAAAATGGTTAAAACTTTAACAATTTCAAATTTAGAATCAATCTTTTTGGGCAAAGATTTATGACTTGCATTGAATTGATTTGAGAAGTAATTATTATGATTAACCACGGTCATACACAAAAATCCCCAATCTTAAATTGTAGGAAGCAACAGAAATGAGTAAATAGAAAGTCCACTTAATGTCAAGTGGAGGGGGGAGGGGGGAGGGGGGAGAGATCCAGAGAAATGCAGAGAACCACGTCAAGGCAACGAAGAGTCCTGCTTCATTTGGTTCCCACACTCGAGTTGAACAACACTAATTGAAGGTGAAGTTCACATTCCAAAAATAACATTTCTCTATTACCCCTCACCTCTCGCCCCCCCCCCTTCCAACCCACACTCCATCCCAATTGTACCAACTGTTTATCGACACAGTTCGGTGCCAACTGACTCAAGAGGGCTCAGTGTTGACCCTTCGTTGTGTTTCTATTCCCGATACTCGAATAGACTTCGTTTTCTTACTCACACATTATCAGCTACGAGTTCTAAGTTAGCAAAGATGAGATAGCCAAGAATTGTTTTCATCAAGATGCTGCACATGGATAAGATTTGCACAAAACCATGCCAAGGTTTTAAGCTCAT